TCACTGTGTAGAAGAGAGAGTTTCTGCAATGAGGGGGCCAGGGTTGAAAGCCAATTTACTGAAGGCTTTCAGCGATCCCTTCATGGCTTGGACTTCAGCGTACTTAAAAATGAAAGTACCTTAGACCTGATTTTTCCTAAGGTACTTTCTAGCTCTACATTCTATAATGTTCCATGTTGGATTCAGCATAGTTATGACGAAGCTGTCAATTAAAGCCTTAATTGATCACTTCAACAGAAACAGACAGAAAGGAAGGTGAATGTGTAGCACTACTGCACTTGTAATGAATGGGGAAAATCTTTTCAGGGTTAAGGTTAGGGCTACCTTGTGCTGTTTCTGATGATTAACTTGATTATTAACTGCTCAGTGAAATGGTCAATGAAAACTTCTTATTGCAATATGCTTTGCTTCTGCCTGCAGTTTTATAGGCAGAATTTATTGGCCAGTAGAATGACCCAGTGACACTTTATAGGGCCTTCTGGTAAAGTTTTGGTGATGATTTTATTATTGAAAAAAACAAGCAAACAAAAAAAAAAACACCTGGTAAAAATCCTTTCTATGAGGTGCGTGAGCATGATAATCCTTCCCAAGCAGGCATCCACGCACTTTCTGAGCATGAAAGATGAAAGTCTGTGATTTTGTAAAGTAGTATTATCAATAGCAACATCCTGAAACTGACTAAGACTAATTTGGTTTAAGTTCCAAATATGACCAACATTACAATCCGTGGTAGGTTAGTGAGGAATTTTCTCCCACTGGTTTCTAAGTTTTAGAACCTTTACAGCCTAGCCTGCCATGAAAGAGGAAGCATTTCTGACCATATCTTGGAGAAATCAAGTACTCTGTTTACATAGGGCTAACAAATAAACAAAGATTTGTGCTCCCTCTACTGGTCTCCACAGCAATATCAAAGTAGAAATGAACCTCAGTAGTATTGCCATCTTTAGGAAATGTAGTCAAATTAGGTATACCGGGCACTTAACTTGGTTTTAGATACTCTTGGGCAGGGGGGGATAAAATGTACTTGGAAAAATTTTTAATTAGATATTAAATTAGACATACCTATAGTCCTTGACTACCAAATTGCTAATTGTGCCTGTAATGGTAATTATAGGATTAATTTATTAACAGACACAGGTGGATTCCTCCAAGATTTTACAAGTTCACATATTATTTTTAAAACAGTTCTGGGAAAATCTCTAATCCAAACTAAGTTTCTTTTCTTGTTCTATTAAGAGCAGCTTCCATAAAGTAAAGATTTATACTATTTATACCCTTTCCGATAATGTCAAACATCAGACTTGATTTTCCAAATCATTAGCATGCAGAAGAATGACCTCATGGTGAACAGATGCACTTGGCTGTGAGCTGCAGTGATTACATCAGTCCCTCCCAGCAGTCAAGGTTGCCCATTCCAGTTAACCCTTTAAAGGCCTTCCTGTGTCCTCCTTTCCTTAGTAACACGCTTGAAAACACAACTTAGTCTTCTTTCTCTATTTCTACACACACACACACACACACACACACACACACACACACCTATATGTTAAGTTCAGCCAGTACTTTAACATTGATTACTGCTGGTCCATAAAGGAAGGAATCAATAAAGGAAGGCAAACTACTGGGCTAGACAAGAAAGCAGTTCAAATACCTATTATGGTCTGGGAATTACCAACACAAGTATAGAAATAGATATGAGTTAAATGGTGTTTGCAAAGAACATTTTCTGATGGGAAAACAGATTAAAAACAACAACAATTATTTTTAAAAAGTGAAGCACCTCACACATTAGCCTAACAACAGAAAAGCCTGCATTCGCATCTGAGTTTGACAGTACAGCATGAAGAAAGGGCATTACTTGGCCAACCTGCCCTTGATGGCTGTCTTGGCTGGGCATCAATGGCACTCAGGCAAGGTCTGTGGCAGAGGAAACTTTCCAACAGTGGCAACTCTGTGCACGGAAAGGCTAGTTGGTATCAGGGGCTCTCCCTCTAGGAAATGGGGTCACATGCTGCATTCTGGCTTGCTACTACAAATACATGTGAAAAGAGTGCTAAAGTTAGCTCTCTTTCTGCATGAATGAGACTGCTCCTTGTTGCAAGGATACAAAGAAAATCTCAGAGCCTCTAATTCTTCAGATTGTGCATATGTACGTGAGCAGGAAGCCCAGAGCCCTGCTTTGAAGATACTGATGGCCAGAGATGGTCTGATTGGGTCCTACATGCACTGTGTGAGTTAAAGCCGCACAGGGTCAAATTTTCCAGTTGATGTGTTACTTGGAAGAGCAGACTTAGCGTTAATTTCTTGGTTTAAGCTGGCCAGTTCATATGGGCTTCATTGTACTTGTCCCAAGTATATAAGATACGACTATGAAAAAATAAAGAAATGTTTTCATCTGTAACAGAGAGTGATAAAGATTCCTCAAAAGCAAAACCAGTACATAAATGAGACACGGCTGTAGTTCTGAAAATAAGGCACTGAAATGCTCTAACCTCATTGTAAACCTATTGCCACAGAGTCAAGTCCAACACAAAGCCACCCTATAGAAAAGAGTGAAATTGCCTTAGAACTTCGCCACTGTGCTACAGGGCTCTTCATAATACTCTCCCCAAATTGTAGTCTAAATCAAGTTCATTTCTAGTTCCTTCCTAATCATTGTTATGGCAGACATGCAAAATGTTAAGAAAGATCATTATGCCCAGACTTAAAATCACGCTCATGTATTAGTGATGTGTCTGTAAGAAAATTTTATCACTCAACACCTAATATCCTAAGACCTAACATTATGAAATGTGATGTTGTTAAGTGCTGTTGAATTGGTTACAGTGACCCTGTATAGGGTTTCCAAGGAGTGGCTGGTGGGTTTGAACTGCTGACTTTGTGGTTAGAAGTTTAATGCTTATCTTACAGCACCACACCAGGCCTCTATGAAATGCAGTATTAATGTTAATAACTAGTAAAGAGAAAGGACCAGCATTTGTTTTGCTATCCTGTTTAGCTTAGTATTCCTCCAGTAAAAGTTCCAATGTACACCATTTATGTGTTGTCAGAATCTTTATTCTATTATGAAATTTTTGTCAATGTGACATTCTCTAGTAACAATCCTCTCCAATTAGTAGGTCTTAAAACTCCAATAACTCACGCAGTTCCACTTAAGATGTTACCTACATCCTGACTTATTTGAATTTGCTTAAATAAATTTGAAGTTTCAGAACAGATAAAATTCATTTGTATAAAGTCTAAAATATACCTAGAAAAGAGACTTCACCAATATTTGTTTCAATAACATCTTAATAAAGAACCCGAAGAATGTAAGACTCGACTTAAGAAATATAAACAGCTAGCTGTTAATTTATGTTTTCTAAAAAAATTAAGAAATGAAAGCTTTCTCAAAGCTAAACAACAGCAACAACAAAACCTCCATTGAAAAATCAAGTTCTAATACCTCATAAGGATGAGAAACAGCTCACTGGGATCTTAAAAAAAAAAAAAAAAATTAGCTTGGCCTTAGATCCTTGATGTTCTTTCACCTAAAATTCAGAAACAGTTTTAAACCTCTAGCCAGACTTGAGTATGAAATCATTATTTCCCTTGAAACTGATTTTTTTTTTTTGTCTTAAAATGTTGGCAGACTGTATAAAAGAATTCAATTCACAGCTGTTCTATTTTTTAAATGTAAGAAACATTGATCAAAGCTTGTAAGTTATAAGCTTTTCTCAAGTTGTTTAGTATTCCAGTCCAACAAAGATCAATAGAGGCCATCCCTGTGTTTCTTGACGCCTCACCAGGAAGCAGAGGCGTGATTATGTAAATCATGCGGCTCCCCTTACCTCTGCCAGCTTGCTTATCTCCCTAGCCTTCTGCTTGCTGCTCCTGACTCCCTGTACAAGTGCCTGCATCTCCCTCTTATCTCTAAGCTCGAAGAGGCAAGGATTGAAGCCAGCGATGTTAAACAATGATGCATGGCTGATTTTATTTGTAAGTGATTTATTTCATTGAATTTAATTTTTTTTTCGACTTTGTATGTAAGATATTTGTTAACAAGTCAAAACAGGAGAAGAAAATTGGTGTTCAGATACAATTGAAACAGGCTAGAAATCTATTAAGCACCATGGTAGGAAAAGGCAGCCCCTTTTTAAGAATTACAACATACATTATAACTAAATATCCTCTTTGCTTTCGAAAATGCAATTAATCTGGAATTATGTGCAAAAACTACAATAATTCTATTCTTTTAAAACAACAATAATCACCACACACACACACACACACACACACAAAAGAAAACACAACAAAAACCAGAGTAATAATATAATCAGCTTAAACAGTAATTTTTTTTTTTTCAAACTGGAAATATGAAGAGAGTAAAAGCCTAAAAACAAGGATATTCAGAAACATTTTAGAAAATTTCTATTGGCCTAATAAATTTAAATGATCATAAGGCAGTTTCTAAGCTGGTCCCACACCAGGTGCTGCTCCGGTCAGTGGTTTGTCCATATGCACACAGACCACTCCAGAGAGAAAGCCGGCCTGCTGCCCTGCTGTAATGACTGACTGGGGCATACCGTGCTTACATTTCTCCTGCATTAATCCTTGACCCTGGTATCTTGGCAGCATAATCCCCATTTAGCATTAGTAGCAACGGCTTCGACTGTGAGGAACTCTTTTTTGATAAGTAAGCACAGATTCGGGCATCGCTCTTAAACAACATATTCCCAGCTCAGCAAGAAACCCACACTCCTGAATGAACCAGAGCACATTACTGAGAAAAAGTTCATTAACCTTGCTAGATTCGGAGGTTAACAGGATAGCTGAAGAAAAGAACTGAGTGAACAGCTCAGATGCAAAACAAATTAAAATGAATGTCATCGTTCCTTTTGATATTCATTAGTTGATTCAGAGGGAGAATGTTCTTCTTAAATTCGCAACCATTTATCTGTACAAAACAGGTGTACATCTGCTGGTCGAATGCGTGAGAGAAGAATAATGTAGATACTCACCCGTTCCACTGAGGGAGTAGCTGGAAGAGGGTGAAAATACTCGGGCTGCAAAATCCTCAAATGTCATTACTTCACGGTGGTTCTGAATTATTGCTTCAAGGTACAGAGCTCTCTCTTCATAGCTGTGGTAATCGGTTAAGGAAACAAATGCATGTGCAGAATGACACGCATAATAATGGCATGGTTTGTTTTGTTTTAAAACAGTTACGGAACTTCAGTATTTGTGGGAAGAATGTACTTTGCAAGTTCCCTAGCATCCTCTCAGAAAATGAAATATTAATCATAACAACAAAATTCTAACTTTGAGGTCTAAGTATTTCTTAAGACTTCAGTTGTAATCAAGACTGGTTATCATTTAAAAAAATAAGTAGACCAATAGTTATAGAACAATGTCATGACATCAAAGCTGATTGAAATAAACAGACAAAACCAGAGACACTGTAATGGCATCCTTTGCATCATCAGCTAAAACATTTTCAGCCTACTGACATCATGGATTGAGACTGCAAGAAGGAACTGGTGATACAACTGTGCACACATTTAAACAATTTAAAAATGCATGACATCAGGAAGGGAGACGGTAAGGAGGTATACTCTAAAGGGGCTGCATGGTTCTAACCAAAATAAGCTATGAGCTTTACTAATATGTGAGAAAATCTAGCAAAGAGTGTACAATGTGATTTAAAAAAAAAAAAAAATCTATTGCCTTTTAATTAAAACTGCAGTCTGGAACACACAGCATTCAAATGTGTAATCAAAAACCAGTCACCAATAAAACTTACAAGCGTAACGCACTGAAGCAACTTTCCAGCTGTCTTAATAGGACCCCTGCGTGGGGCAGCCTTTCACAGGGCAGAAAGCAAATCTTCCCCTTTGTGTAGGGTTTCTGCTTCCTCAGAAGGTGAATCATGCACTTCCAATAACAGGATAACGTCAGAACAATTCGGCAGCGGATGGAGCCATTGCACACACGACTTTATGAATGAACAGTTGGATAAGGCGGCATGATGTCTCATTTCCCTCTTGCTCATTATCCATGTAAAAGTTAAAATACATGTTTTAAACATTTTGGAAAACATGTGAATTCTTCAGGAACAAAGGGAGTGTTAATCACCATCAAATTATTATTTGCAGCTCCAGAAGAGGAAGAGTAATTCTAGGGTTTCTCGTAATATTTTAAAACTATGTGCAAAACAGCCTCTTAAAAAATATAAGTTGTTTCTTTTCTGCCCTTTTATTCACTGTGTAGAACCTGGAGTGATAAAAGCTTGGAAGTGGCCATCCAATGCACACCAACTGGCCTCCAGTCTCTTGGAGCAATAGTGGAAGGAGAGTCAGGAACCGAAGGCCGGATTTGGAATGTGTGGCCAATTGCCTCCATGAATAAGTGCCCCATTTGCCTGAGACCAGAAAAACTGAATGGTGCCCAGCTACTATTACGGAACATTTTGATGAAAGATTTCATAGAAGAATCCTGATCAAAAGGGGAGAAACACAGTACAGAATTTCAAATTTGTTTTTGACAGAGGATAATGATTTTTAAATGCAGGCTCCCCGTTACCCTGCTCCTTTTGTTATATTCAGAGGATGATTTTCATACCATGAGGAGGCAGAAGCATTCTGAGTCTGTGCTGTCCAGTAGGGCAGCCATGAGCCACATTTGCCTATTTAAATGGAAATTAATTAAAATAAAAAATAAAAAATTCAGTTCCTCTTTTCCACTCAATAATCACATATGGTGAGGGGTTACCCTCCTGGACTGCACAGATGTAGAACATACCCAGTATCCCAGAGAGTTTCTTTTGGACAGCACAGGTCCAGAATTTCTCAAAAAGAAGATGAGTGTGGAGATTTTAGAAGTGGCCTTATGATGATTTATGATCTTTGACGTAGATGGTGACAATAGCCCAAGACTTGGGCGGCATGAGCCTGAATTGGCTTCTTGACTGTGCTGTACTCCTTCCTGGTGACACAGCTTTAATGAACAGGCTGCCAAACTTGTTCCGCGAGAGGCGCCTGCTCAGGTCCAATTCTCGAGAGACCTACTAATGCCATTCACGTCTTATTACGAACACACTTATTCTGCACAGCACTTGGCTGTCACCATGGCCTGGCCCTCCGTGCACAGTCCCAGCAAGCCGCTGGCCGTGGAACAGCAGGACGTTAGGCCTTAGTGGACGTCTGGTGAGCAGGCACTCTGACACTAAGCTGGCACGTGCTGGCCCAGCAGGGGCCGAGCGAGGCGTGACAAATTATTCAAAGAGCTGAGCTAAACTTAGGGCTGACAACCACCTGAGCCTTTGGACTGCCATGGCCTGCCATCAGTGCTCAATTCATGACTCCCCTTTTAGTCCACAGTCTGCTTGCAGACGGAAACAGCCACATCCCTCTAAAGGCCTGCCATGCTCTGCCCAGTATTGTGCTGATGCCTCCTGAAAGGCTCCACTCTGCCCAACACATCCACATAGAGTGCTTAAGACAATGGCAAACCCAGTAGAAATGTGTATGCATTTGGCTAAATGCTTGGTAGCAGACATATATAAAGAAGAGTGACTTGCTATGTTAATTGAGTTCACAGCCACACACCACACTGTTAAAAGAACAATTTCCCCCTGAATACTTAATTCAGAAGGAACTTTGGTAGCTAGTGGTTATGAGTCGGACTGCTAATCTCAAGGTCAGCAGTTTGAAATTACAGCTGCTCTGTAGAAGCAAGATGAAGCTTTCTGCTCCCATAAACATTTACAGCCTAGGAAACCCTATTCAGGGTTGCTATGAGTTGGAACCAACTCCACGGCACATCATCACCACCACCACCACTCAATTCAGAGAACAATCAAATTACTAACTAGAAGGCCATCTTCTGGAAATTTTTTAGTTTCTTTAGTAACCTACTCTGTCTACATTGCCAACTAAAAACTTCATCAATTATTGATATTTGTCAAACAAATCGAACACCTGAAAGTGCTTACTGTTTATATCAAGAAATCTGGAAGACCCGGCTAACTGGAAAGGGTCATCATATGTATTCCCAAGAAAGGGAATTAACTAGAGATAGGAAGTATCGAGTAATAACATTAAGTACTAGTAAAAATTTTGTTAAAGATAATCAAAAAATGATTACAAGTGTAAATTGACAAGGAACTGACAGATGCTCAAGTCAGATTCAAAAGAGGACATGGAACAAGGGTTACCATTGCTGATGTCATACAAATTTTCACTAAAAGCAAAGAATACCAGAGAGATGTTTACTATGTGGATCATAGAAAATTATGGATAATATAAAGAATATGGATTTCAAACACTTGATTAAGTTCATGTGGAACCTGTACATGGATCAAGAGAAAGATGTTTGAACAGAACAAGGAGATACCGCACGGTTCAGAATTGAGAAAGGTACATGGCCTGGTGGTTATCTTTTCAGCTTATTTAATGCTGGATAAATACTTTGAGAAGCTGGACTATGTAAAGAAGAATGTGTCCTCAGGATTGGAAGAATTAACAATTAACAATCTGGTCTAGCAAGGTTATAGTTTTGCTTGCCAAAAACTGATCCACATTCTTCTTCATGTAATTCAGCTTCTCGAATCATTTGTTCAGCATAAAGACTGAAGAGGTATGGTGAAAGGATACAGCCCTGGCGTACACCTTTCCTGATTTTTTAAAAAATGTTTTATTGTGAATTATGTGATAGTTTACATGGGAGAACATTAGCTTTACATTCATCCTATAGTATATCGTTTCATTGCCATGGCTATGGTTACAATCCCCTCCATGTATCATCAACCAACCAAAGGGTATACCCTGCAAGCCTAGTAGCCCCCAGTCAGCACACAGGCCCTCTCCCTTTCTGTGTCTAAAGTCCCCAGCTGCTCCATCTCTCCACATCATCGTTTCTGCCTCCATCTCTGGCGTCACTTCTTCTCTGGGTAGGGTCCCGCTCTCCGCTCTTCTCCCTTGACACCTTTCCTGATTTTAAACCATTCAGTCTCCCCTTGTTCTGACAAGAAATCAAACAACATATTGCAATGGAGAAATCTGCTGCAAAAGACCTCTTTAAAGTGTTACAAAAAAATCAAAGATGAGGACTGAGGTGTGCCTAACCTAAGCCATGGTATTTTCATTTATCCCATATGCATGTGAAAGGTGGACAATGAATGAAGAAGACTGAAGAAGACTTGATGCATTTGAATTGTGGTATTGGCAAAGAATACTGAATATACCATGAACTGCCAGAAGAATAAACAAATCAGTCTTAGAAGAAATACAATCAAAATGCTCCTTAGAAGTCAAAATGGTGAGACTTCAGCTTGCTTACTTTGGACACATCATCAGGAAAGACTAACTGCTAGGAAAGGACATGATGGTTGGTAAAGCAGAGGGTCAAAACTCTGGAAACTAAGGCCTAAGTAACTCGGTGAATGGTGTGACACATACCAGAGGAGGGAACTGAAGAGGGAAGGCAGGGCTGAGTTGGGTCTGAGGTGTCGAAGGGGAATATCTATGGGGGAAGTCTAACGGGGTTTGTAACTGTGGCTAAACAGAGAGACCTAGGCTAGAGAAAAGGAGTTACCTATGAGTCACCAGTGTGAAGATGACCTTAGAGGAGAAATGGGGAGAATGAAATGCTGGGAAGAGCCCTTCCCATCAACTTCAAAGGCAGAAATAAAGACACAGGAAAGAGAGAGAGGCAAGAATGTTGTTCTTAAATGAATCTTTTCCAATGAACAGTGACCCTGTCAGGGTTTCTGAGACTGGTGAATTTGAACCACCAGTCAAACTTACCTTATGTTCAAGAAATTACCCTACAGTGCCACACCAAGACTCCAAAAGAATTGTTGTTGTTGTTCTTAGGTGGGGTAGACTAAGTACTGACTCATAGCAACCTTATGTACAACAGAATGAAACACTACCCAGGGCTGTGCTTACTTTATAATCGTTGCTATGCTTGAGCCCATTGCTGCTGCCACTGTGCAAATCTATCTAGTTGGGAATCATTCTGTTTTTTTGCTGACTCTCCACTTGACCAAGCATGATGTCCTTCTCCAAGGATTGGTCCCTCCTGATAATATGTCCAAACTATGAAGACAAAACTCGGGCTGTTCTGTCTTCTAAGGAGTAT